GTAGTTGAATAGTTATATGAATCTATGTCTATGTCTATTCTCCTTGTCGTGTGTTGTATTCTAAGCGGTTCGACCGCATAGTACTATCTCTTTATCAACATGATCGCTATGTTTATAATTGATGCAATGCCCGTAGGCGTGGCTGGTCGTTCTATCGTAGGATATAATACAAGGGAATAATAACATCATGGCGTACCCATGGGATGTGGTTCGTAGTCATTCGTGGCGTATATACAGTCGGGGCTGCTTAGGCCTATTGGGAGTCCGCGTGGCACAGTGGCGAGCAGCGAGCGCGGCGTAAGTCCCCGGCAACCCTCACGCCGACACCGACGCCGCTCCTAAGCAGGGTTGACCCCGATGCTCTTTAGCTTATGCGAGGAGCAAGGCGTCCGTGCCGGCGCGACAAGAAAAATATTGAGACTTCTCATCCACTGCATTTTTAATGGCTCTTCTTCGATCATTGATACTAAAATCAGGGGCTCTCGTCTTAACTTGTTGAAAAAAAGCTGTTTGGCTCACAGAATTTTTTGGAGGAGCAAAACATTCCATGAGCACCGATTCGCCACACTAAGCGCGTAACGTAACCGCCATGAAAGATTTTGAGGAGGCAGCTTATACAGCAGTTCGCTAGTTTACTTAAACATCGCCTAATTGAGCGAATTACACAGAATGGAAGGAAATTTAGCAGATCAAAAATAGCTTTATCGACTCGAGTGTTCCCTTTTGTACAATACAGCACCGCAGTACTCTTTTATTATGGAAATTAAGAGCGGATGTTCAGCAGTCGTGGGAACTAATGGTGATTTCTGACTGAAGTGCAGAAATACATAAACATCAATTCACATTGTGTAAAATACACCGTCTTTGTATTTGGCTGGTTTTCCCGGGTCAGGTCGCAACTTCAGCGGTACCAATCGCTTATGGAACACGATGACCAGAAGCAGTGCAAATCCTATAGTTGCAATCTGCGTGAGCATGATGTATTTGTAACCAGAGTGCCGGAACAAGTACCTGAACATTCGGCATTCTTTGACAGTTTTTACATTTTTTCATTTCATATACAAGTTTTTTCTTTGCTAATTTTGGATATTTACATGAAGTGAGTGAACAAACCTAATTAGATTACTCGTATTGATAGACACGAGATAAGAAACAGGTGTGCAGTCTTGAGACTGACCAAAAATTGGTTGTTGCTGATCTTGGCATCAAGGCTGCAGATCTACGTCCAAAAAAAAACAGTCAAATGATAGCTACATATTTTTAATGGCAATATATCAGGTTGACGGAAAAGTTCTGGCCTTCCTATCGGTGTATTACAATTTACTCATACGTGGAGGCCGATCAACGATCTCTTAAGTGCACTTCTGTCGTAGCAATTCGCAGAGATTGTGGGTAAAAGAGGCTGTTCAGCTGTTCCTGCTTTCTAAAATCAGAAAGCGCTTCAATGGAAGCGATACTGCAGGAACCCTGCGACGCTTGCTATGAACCTCGAGACTGTTACTCAAGAAATGGGGAATATTCGGTTGTCCTTGTCCACATACTAGAGAAAAAACAGTAAATGCACTGAATGCCTGGAATAAGTAAAGAGAATCTTCAAAAGCTGCTCTGAAAGGGGTTTCAGTACGATGCGTGGAAGGTGTCATGGCTTTGAACAATGCTATCAGACTTCTGTGCAGGGTCAACCGTTACGTTGGACCGATATTGGAGCGACGTTGGACCGATGTTCACCGCTCTCCGCGCCGGCATTCACTCTCGCCACCCGCGAGCCGTCTGTGTCTCCGTGCGTACGTTCACTCTCGGCATTACTCTCGTCGTCGCGTTGGACTTTGTCCAACGGACGGTTGACCCTGACTGTGATACCTTCACATTCAAAGCCGATGAAATGCTGCATAAACATTTTGGTTTTCCGCCTCCCTCTCGTCTGACCCAAAATTTTGATGGTAGCATCAACTAGAAAATTCTTCACGTAAGTCACATGCGGAGACATCACAGGCCTGGACGCGTAGATACAAGAACGTAAACCCGAATTTCAGCACTGCAACCTGGTAGGTGATTTTCAGATTTGGTGAAGTCGCAAACTTTTCTTTCGGTGAGAGATGTTGCCAAAGAGCGTTATTACTCTGAAGAGCAATAATGTGGGCAAAGGAATTTGCTCGCCGTTAGGCTGCTTTCATAGTTTGTGGCCCGTGTGGTCCGCGCGGAGAGAGTGAAGAGCGTCAACACGCGCTCTGACGCACGACGCGTACTCGTCGCGTAGCCGGCGCCTTCCGATCAATAATTCCAACTTCCATACATTTTTTCTATTTCTCAACCTTTTAGTGTGCCGTTTTGCTTTCAATTGCGCTTCTTCAGCTCGAAACTTTTTCTTTTTTTTGTACGGATTGCTGCTTTTGCTTGCTAATGAACTCACCTGGAGCATACTGCCACTTTCAAACACATTGTGAACCTAACCATTCTAGTACAGTTGAAAAGCAATGATTCACACGGAAAAAAAACGCGATTATTGTCAAAAAACACGAGAGCAATAGCAACACGACATCTTAACTGAAATCAAACGAGGTGTATTGAAACCGAATTCATCGATCGGAAGGCGCCGACTGCGCGCCAAGTACGCATCGTGCGCCAGGTGCGTATTGACGCTTTTCACTCTCTCCGCTCGGTTCGCGCGGTCCGCACGGACCGCAAACTATGAAAGCAGCCTCACTATGCTTGATAAACATGACGAAGTTCCTTTAACCTTGGCAAAGCTCGTTCACGAATCAAGAAAAAGATCTTGCAAAAATCTCGGAGCTCCTTTTGAGATGCCGCATGTAAACCTCTTGTTGTGTTTTC